TCGTCCGCCACATGTTCGTATTCCATGTTGGCAGAAATACAATAAAATTTTGTGAAATATCAACCCAATTTCGGTCCTAAATAAAAATAATCTTACAATTTATGATACTTACTTTTCCGTTTTGCTTTTATTTCCCTTTATACACTCTATCTAAATGGATGTATTGGATTTAAAAGGATTTTCTACTCGATAAACTTATCCGTTGTAACTTTTCAGCAAGCTGCTACCAGTGATCAGCAAATGCGCATGCGCATCTCATGGGACTTTTTCATGACAGGGACTGATGACAAGATAGAATATTGTAAAGCGCTTAAAAAGGACTCATTAAAGTGAATAATTGCCTCGCAATTTTCCCTCTTTATTGCGCACATTCATTTCCTTCTTCTTTCTTCATTTCTAGCCCGAGATGGTATGCAATACATCATGTATCCTTCCTATGATCTATTACTGCATCCATATACGCAACAAAACACCATAATTCTACGAAATCTCTCCACAAGTGCAATTATTGTAATCTGATCTATGTCAGTCCTATCGTGTAAATAGCTTTTTGAATTTAATTAGGAACAAACAAGGCGGGTTTTTATTATGTGACTCGATTTGACCAATCAATGCTCAGTATTTCTAGAACATTACATGTCCCAACTCTTACAAATAGCTCGGCTCTTGGCCAGCCCTGCTAAACCAAGCTGAATGTGATAAGACTGCCCATGCTGATATTCAAACATTCACTTCAACATGGCAGCCAAACAACAAACAAAGACATATTTTTGCTGGTCACCAGAAATGAATACTTAAAAGATTGTTTGTCATCTTAAAAAAGCATAGTGAAATCTAAAAGTTTAAATTTCCATGCTGACAAACCGGCACAGTATAAACATTTCAGAAAAGAAATGGCAAAGATATACCCAGATGAGGATGAAACTTTGTTCGCACATGTAAGTCAAAACATGGCACTATCAGACACTAAGCTTGAGGACATGAACGATGAAAAAAAGGCACGAATAAAGGGAGAGGATGCTCGTGAGGAATCTTCTATCACCAAGGGACAAAATTGTACTATTGAAAAAATAAAGGAACTAAAACAATGTTTCTCAAAAGAAAAAGTGCCTGGCTTCCGCAGAAATGTTGTAGGATAGTCTGTGAATTTTACGAGAACATTATTGTCAATTTATCGTACAGAGTGGCTCCGCTAACACCGAGCCATTAGCGTTTGGAGCAAGTTTCGAAATGGTGAATATTCAAGTAAATCAACATGACAGGCTACAAGTTGAATAAAATGAAAATGAGGACTTTGTTGATATACAGTATCATGATATTCAAGCCCCAAAACGAAAGTCTTCAGAAAATGTTATCAGAATAGTTGTACACAATAAATGTAAACATTTGGAGAAGAACCTGTCAGCCGCTGAGTGAGACAAAATTCTGATTAACGAAGCCAAGGTAGATAAAGAGGCTGGTACAATGTTCAGTGCAGGAGTAAAGGAGTCAAATGCAAGCTATACCTTGTAGGTATAAATCAGTAAGTGAGGTTGAACCAATTAACTGTAATACAACTGGAAGGCTAACTCAAAATATAAATGCCTAGACTGTTTGACGCCACTTACTTGAATTGCCGCTTCGCGAGTATCTCGCGTGGAATGTTATATTTGCGTGACGGATTGTCTTGCAAAAACTGCTATTTGGAATTAGAATGCTAGCTTAAATGTTGTATTTATTTCAAAACCGCTAGCAAAATTTGGTTATTAATCTGTTAAGATGCTTTCTTGACGTGCCAAGACATGTTTTGTATACGTAACTTGCTTCGAAATATGAAATTCTTATTTGTCGTCGAAAGACCAAAAATTTAAGATAAAACTGATAGCAGGTAGTCTCTATCTTTGAATGCTGTGCAAAATACACACAACCCACTTAACATAACATGTTTCATAACTATTTTATTGCTTTTAAAGTTAGACTTGCTTTGTAAGAATTTCACATGCTTTTTGTAATGTGTGATAGTGATGATTTGAAATTTTGAACTGTGGGTGATTGTTGGTTCTTGTCATTTACTTCTCCCACTTCTTCAGAACTAGAAGAATATTTGACATGCATCCATATTTGTGTATTGAGCATTTTATCAGCAAGTTCATGCTTATAAATGAATAGCCAAGCATCACAAGTATTGCTAAGATGAACTGTTCTACATAAATGCAAAAAGCAACCCTTATCCTCAGTTGTTTGAACCAGGGTTATAAAATGATTATAAAGCAAGCAAAGCTTTATCATATATCAAAATTTTACAGTAAAGTATATCATATTTATTGTAAAATTAATGTTTTCTTGTAATACAAATGATGATAAATGTATATGCAATAATTCTATTTTAGGATGTGTGTTTAAAGTGTTTGGTCATATTTGTTAAAATATATGATTATCTATAATATTAGACTAATAATCTTTTTCATACTTGTATTACATTACAATTTTTGCTTAAGCATTTCAAAAATTATGAATGTGGAGTGTAATTTGTGTTTTGTCTTTTTTTTAAGTTGGTATTGACCCTTTTTTAATATTGTCTCTTTAATGGTGCATCTAACAATCACACAATAATATGGCTCAACAGTTTTTTTAAAAACAAACTCGAAATATTTTTTTGCCAACTTTTTGAAATATTTTGCAATGTGTTTTTCTTTTTGTTTACGCTCTGAAGTTTCAAATGAGACTGGGGCGAGCTAATTTTGCTCGGAAACACAAAAATTACCAAAAACCAGCGTTTTTTGCCCTGACAGCTTTATTTTCAAAGATTCAAACAATAATATAAGGATACATAAGTGTATTTTACATCATTTTAATGAGAAAAACGAGGGTGTCAGTTTTGTATTCAAGTTATAAGGCATGTTTTCACGTTCCAAAACAAAGTTCGCTTTTCGTCCTTCTGAAAAGACGCTAAAACATGTACAAATGTCGTTCAGACTTGTTTTATATTAAAGTCCAAACATTTTTTAAGGTTTTTAGACATTAAGCTGGCTCAAAGACCACTGTTTTTTGCAAAAAATCCGGAAATATCGAAGTGATGTATTTTGCCTCCGTACCCTCAATGGCGGCGATCATACAGGCCTTATAGATGGCGATCAAGTTTGCCTTCCAGTTGTTTTAGAGTTCACTGGGTTGAACCTGGAATAGGTCGTTAATCAGAAATGCTCGCACATGCTACAACGGCAAAATATCATCCTGTCTACCAAAATACATTTCACAGTCGCTATCCAACAAATCAAACTACAGGGAATAGACGAAGAGCAATTTCTTAAAGAATCACTACAGATTGATGAAAGGTATATCATCATGTATAAATAATTCCACAATTTGGCATGATTATGTCCTCACATTTATAGCTGGGCACATTGCGAAGAAGATTGCTAGCTGTACCAAGTGTTCTGAATGTGCAAGTTCTTAAGCAACACCAAATTATCACCATACTTTTTCTGACCATACATACTTCCGGACGTCCACATTGATAAATTTGATAAGCTTCAAGGAAAGCTTACAATCTATCATCATCTGCTTCACAAATAATCGTAGAAGCAGACCGATGTCTTCGTATTTTACTTCTTAAATGAAATCATTTAGGCGAAAAGGAAATTCTAACGCTAAAACGCGATGTTCTTTCCAAAATGAAGCAAACATATTTTCATCGGTACAGCAACACTCTAAAGAAACTCATGTTCTAAACCCGGATCTTCGTGATGACCATGTGAAAATTTTGATAAAAATACTGATCTCTTTGCAAAATCTTTGTTTAAAGATTTTCTAAACTTTACACTGAGTGATTTGTTCGCCAGGATGAATCTTCCAAGTAACAGAAACTAAACATTGAAGTAAATGGTTTGAACCCGGGAGTATCGTTGCATGTTTGTAAATGTAGATCGTCCAGGTTGGTATAGTCCTGAGAAAAACCGTGTTTGTTTTTGTTGACTGACGTTTCGACAACCTTAGCGGTAGTCCTCTTCAGTGCCAAATGAGGAGTAAACGTCAGGTAAGCCGTATTTGTTATCTGGTTCTTACGTCATTGTATTGTGTGTACAGGACATGTGTATTGTCATTGTGAATTAGTGTGAAGTGAAATATTTTTAGTTGTGATGTGTGATTTAGGTGTGATGTTTTTAGTTGTAATGTGTGAGTGGCAATTGTGTATTGTGATTGTGAATTAGTGTGAAATGTAATGTTTTTATTTCATCGACCGCCTGACGTTTGCGACTCAAAGTCATCCGATCCGAGCAAGTGACTATTTCATACGCGACGTTTTATCTAGAATTGAACGTGGCGAAGCCGGGAGGCCTGTAAAATCTTGGAAATATGTAAATATTTTAAAAAATCGTCGATACAACACGATTTAGAACGGCTATCTACATGTCTTTTGCGCGTTTAGCCGCCATCTTTGATTTGCTCTTAGTGGCTTCATTTCTATAGCATAATATATGAGTCAGCAATCTAGATCTCGCATATCTATGAGCTGCACAGTATCTACTTATGCTTTACGTGTAGTACAAATAAATAGCGAAAAACGTCGGTGGTCCTGTTGTGTCAATCCTGGTGTGTCAATCAGACGTAGCCCGTGGCATTGCCCGCTCGATAAGTGAGGGGGGCAGTATCCATACATTCATGTTTTAATCCCTAAGAAACACTTGATTTTAAAGAAACTTAACACGCAAAAACATGCATACATTAATAAAATCCCCATCATTTATCGAGCTGTTGACGCTTTTGGACGCAGCTATTATTTCTACATTTCTCGCCATAAGTTATTATACATAACGACAATAACTCCTCCAAAAAACATTAAACAGCCTAACTTTTAAAGCCCAGACTTTGAAACACTTAAATGTCATCAAATTCTTGCACTCTAATTTTAAGGAAGACATCAAGAAATACAATCATTGATCAGACCAACTCACGACAATGCAGAATGAAGGATTCTCTAAGAAAAACCGTTTACATACAAGGCCTCTTAAACATTTTACCTGCTGCGCAAGTCTCTCTTTTTCTTGTTTTTCCAATCTCTCGCGTTCTTCCTTTTCTTTACGTTCTTGTTGAAGTTTTAACATTCTTTCCTCTTTAAAAAAAATGAACGTCGGTCAAAAGAATTAATTTGTTTGAAAAGGCCAAATTTAAAATGGACAACGAATTGCTCCTTTTATTACGCAGTGCGCAAAGTATTAGTGCTGAAACTCATAAAGCCAAATACACCATTTGCCTGTAAATAAATAAAATTCAAATTTCGCAAAAACAATGTAACACATTGAAACATAAGCAAAAATTTCAAACGACAGTGATATGCAAAACAATAAGCGAAAAGCGATAATTAGTACCATCAATAAGACCGATCGTATACTAAAACTGAAATTTCATAATCAAGTATGGAAATGCAGTAGGCGAGTTAGGAAATGATAGTCTGGTAACCATTTGAATTCGCACTTTGCAATGTTGTAAATTTAAGGGGACGCCATTTTGAACTTAATTTTAGAGCGCTGGCATAGTGCAAAAAATCACTGTAAACTAGAATGACTAAAAGGCAGTAAGTGCTGCCTGTGGCATTAAGTGCTGCCGGGGAGAATGTGAAGTACATGAGAGTCACTAGCTTGACAAAGGAAGAATTGTTTCAAACTTAAATTTTGATAGCCTTTGAAAAACTCTCTCGGGTGTTTTTTTTTCCCAAATTGAACACGAAACCATGCTATTACCTATAACAATAATTGTCTGCAATACATTCACAAGATTTTTCAAGAGAGTATGTGCCGATTATACTCTTAAAGTCTCGCCTTAGGTTTAATCTTTGAACGCAAACCGACATCGTGCAACCATGATCTTGTAACATTTTGCATGATGAAGACTATTCAATGAAAATTTGCAGGATAATGGCATGAACTTAAGCTCGATTTCCATATTATCGTTCATGTCGTAAGGAACCTCTTTGTCGCTTCAAATTTGTATAAAGAAGCAACTTCAGATATCCCATGATAGTTCCGTAATTCTATGCGCGTAATTGGCGTAATTCCGTATTCAAAGATGGCGGCAAACAACTTCAATTCTACCTCTTCATTTATGGAAGAAATACTGAGGTATGATTGCTTATATAACAAATTTTAAAACATTATAAAACAGATGGACAACAGAGGGAAAAGATCGTCGAAAAATTAAGACTAGTTTCGTTAGATGCCAAGAAGTATAAGAACATACGAACAAGCTATGTTCGTTGTCTTAAAAAAAAATAAAAAAGTTCCATCTGGCTATGGAAGAGACGCTGAGCCCAAACCTAGGAAGTTTGTCCATTTGGAGTGGCTAAATCAGTATATCAGTCACAGGAATAGCTCATCAAACCTGCCCAACAACGAAAGCGACGAAGCAGAGAAGGTAATTGATACTGAACATATGAGCACTAGCTATTGTTCGATGGCCAGAATAAATTATAATAATTCACTAATAGGTACATAATACTGATTCTCCGGAATCTTACATTGCAGCAACGCCGGGACTAACGAGCAATGGAGATCTACAAGAGATACTTTCAAAAAAGACATCATTCTTCGTCGAAGAAGCGACCATGGGTGCTTGATATTTGGCTTTTTTTTTTCTTACACTGGAATACACACTATATTCGCCAGTCAAGACATGAAACAATAGTTGGAACCTTTGTCAGAAAATAGTATTCAAATGCATTCAACATAAAATATTGTAGAAGGTTAGAAAATGATTTGATGAAGTATGAAAAGTGACCATGGGTGTATAAAACATCAATCACACACAATTTTGGTCAGAGTGGCAAATACTGTTTCCGGATCGAAATTTGCTGCCAAGAAAATTATGCAGAACTTGTACTAACTATAGTGAAGGAAAATTATTTTTGTAGTTGAATTAAGTTGAACAGAATTTTTTAAAAAAAGTCATTAAATTCAGTGTCCAAATTCTGTAACAATCTGCACAATCCTTTTTGTGTTCATAACACAAGGAATAACTAGAAGAAAACCGAGAGTTTGTCATAGTAAAAAATTTGAATATTGCCTTAAAATATGCAATTGCCATTGTGAATCATTGAACTATAATAGATGGAAGGCTACATGTATAGGAAAAGCCAAGTAATTTTTTGAAGCCAAATTTTACACGCGTGTCAGGAGGTCAATTTACGAGACGCGCGAGGCTACACGATATGCGAGAATTTTTAATAAAACATGTTTTTACCGAAGTCTTTTTTTGATTTTGTTCAAATAATTAACATAAAAAGGTATTGTGGCAGTAAAGACAGAGGCGTAACTAGAACGGTTATTTGGGAAGGGGGGGGTGCAAATTCATATATTCCGTTGTGCCCAACTGATTTATTTTGAAAGTGAATTGAATTTCAAAAGAAATCAGTAGGGCACAACTGAATATATGAATATACACCACAACTGTGTGGGATATTGCATTCTTTTGAGCTTAGCAATAAAATTGTCGTAACTATGTTAGTTTCCCTTCAACATTTCTTTGTTTTAAGTACGTTTTGTAAGTTCTTTGTTTGTTTAGTTAGTTCTTCTTTTTTGTAGCAACGCGTGAAAACTTGAAACGCAATGAAAGAGTGAGTACTGCTAATGACGTAAAGGAATGCTCGACTTATGTAATTACCGATAGTATAAATATCATGTAAATAATTAACTCTAATAGATAGCGTAAGAATACTCCAGTGATGTACTTGTAGCTTGTTTAGCTTGTAAAATAAAAGGTTTAAAACGAAGAGTGTTAGTGAACCAGCTGAGGAGCGGATTCCTCGACAGCCACCCCCAATTAACGTTCTAGTTACGCCTCCGAGTAAAGGTGATGGAGCTTTATCTATATGCGGTCGATAAGAAATCCTTACTATTGAATACGTATTTTGAAATAAAAATAACAACGGTGGAAATGGTGATAAACAATGACATCGTTCATTTTATACACATCGGAAACATTGCATCAAGTATTATAGTTTATTTCGAAAAAATTCAAATAGATGTATCATATAATTTACATGAGTTTATCCTTAGAATATTTCGGGATTTGTATCCCAACCTATTACCAGAAACCATTGATGTTCGAAATTAGGTAACATTTATATATGTTTTTCACAAAGCTAAAGTAACTGAAGTTATAAAATGCGAAAATTTATAAGATATAAAATGAAACGGTTTGTGAAGATTTTCTTCGCTGGTGCATAAATTCATCTAACATGGGATGGACATCATTTAATTTATCTTTTAAAAAGAATCTCGTGTAAGTTGTACTAAATGTTGTGTTTTTCTCTAAATTTGTATGTCGAACTAATGTTGGTTAGGGTAAAAATAAATTTCCAAAACTGATGTTTGTTTAAAATTAATTTGGTTTTTTATGTTTTATGATATTCGTAAGTATCTTGCGAACAATAGTGGCTATTTTGGAACAAAAGCGTTGTAGTTTTTAACTTTTAACTTTTTCTCTTGTAAAACAAACAACTATAGGAAAATGCCTTCTAGTTATGGTTAGCTATGACTTATTTACAAGAATTTAGTTGTCGAAAAATTGTGTATACTTGATAGAAAGTATCATTTGAAAAGTTTAAAAAAAAAACAAAAAAGGATTTGTGCTTTGTTTTCGGAGCTTTGTAGTTCGTACAAGTTATTTTTTTCGTTCGCAACTGTTGGCCATATGTTGATATTGCGTGGAAAGACTGGACGCTACTGCCTTCAAAATATCGACTGAGGTAGCCTTCCATCTATTTAGTTCAATGTGGTGAATGGCCTGAAATCTAAGAGAAACTAAGAAACCTATGAGAAAACCCCGTAAACCTCAAAAGAAAACCAAGATAAACCCAATGGTTCTAAAAGGTACAATTTTGAGTTAGAGCACCAACCCAAAAGTTCTGATACACATATGCTAAAGCCTAAAGTTTGTATCGTACACAAATGTAAGTCTGCTTTTTTAAAACCTATGGAGGTGCAATTTATCAAGCTTGATAATTCGATCCTTTCTCAGCAGAAGCAGTTTATTTTTGAATTGTCTATATTTTGATGAAGACTCTTCCTCACATGGTAGATGAGTCATCATCAAAACAACTGATACAAAAAAAATTGATTAACCCTTAACAGATAGAAAACATCGTGCATGATAAGTTGTTTGTCAGAATGTAAAGTGTCCAAAAATTTCTAGAACAGTTCTTTTCAAAACTTTCAGTTGAATGCTTTAATCCTAAATTGACTTTTTTCAGAACTATTGGGTTTCTCTTGGTTTTCTTTTAACTTTTTCACTGTTTTTTTCTAGAGTTTCTTCGTTTTTTTTGGATTTCAAACCATTAGCAATGGCATTTGCGCTTTTTAAGATATAAAAAAATGTTTTCAATACATATAGGCCTTGTGCAGCATGGAGAATTTATGAAGTACCCCGCTAAATTTCTAATTACCTTCATGCTTGACCTGAACCCTAACTTTTTTCTCATTATAAGCTAGCCTGACTGTTGTTGCAAGTCTTTGTGCCACTACATTCAATAAGTTTGTAGTGCAGCACATGTTGATGGCAGAAAATTCCATTGATTTAAAATTATTGAGGGAATTAGTGCAAATATTTTGCAATTTTAATGACTGTCACACATGGAATAAACCGTATGTAAACTTTCATTATTCAAACAGAACTCAAGTTAAAGAAAATAACCTTCTTTCTCCAACAGTTCGGCGTCGTCCTTTCTCAGTTTTTCTTTTTCAGCTTTACTTTGCTTTGGAGACTTCACCTTACCACTTTTCTTGGAAGGCTGTGAAAGAAATGTATAATTTCACATATCCACATAAAATGACTGATTCCCTTCACTTAATTCCTAATTCATTAATTTCTGCATTATGTGAAGCTAGTACATAATAGTTTCCGGCAACATTTAACCAATTCTAACCAAATAGCATAGAAAGGACGAAATCCTTTGCACATATTTCAAACATAAATTACTGCTCCTACGTACATATACATACCATATTTGCTAATTTTGTAATCCAAAGCTGTTCCAAATATATTAAGGATGTTTTATTTCAAACTTTATAAAAAATCTATAAAACATAAACTACAAACTCGCTAAACACAAAATATTGTCCCTGCAAATAACTGTTACTATAGAAACGGACACGTGAGAACTCGCGCTAACATATAAGTTGCTAAACATTGCTGGCTCATCGTTGCTTTTTAACCAAGGGGGGACGCATATTGTGAGTTTATTGTCTCGTACAACATTTACACCTTGTTTGTACGACAGATTCTATATGTCTGGCGTATTATTTGAGGACATTTTTGATGTAAAGGATATAAATCCAGAAGGGAAAAAGTTCGACAGAGGTTAGTTAGTTTTTTTAGCTCTTGATTTTGAAAATTAAATTTAACATGTGCTACCGCCGATATTATTTTTCCATAAAACTACTGTGAAATTGGCACCATATTAAACACAACATTCAACACAACATTCACAGCACAACATTCAACACCACATTTGACTAAAATTTATCATTCAAAATGACAACTCTAAAAGTTGTTTTTGATTCACCTTTTCTATGAAACAAAACAATAAAAACATTTCTTAACTGTGTACGATAATATTTTTGTCCTTAAGCATCATACATAAAGAATGGAAGTCATGAAATTCATAAATAAACTAAGCTTTAATGCATCACCTTGCTTTAATGCCCTTTATTTGGCCTATAATTTAAAAACTACATAGTAGAATTTTTTAAACTTTCGTTGAGTATAGAGTTTGATATTTTCTCAAATATATCCGAAATATGTAGATGGCATGAATTTTCGATACTTTAGAAATTTGTGCCACCTCCAGATTTTGGATGTATCATAGAATATAAAACATCTATAATATATTAAAGTTTAAAAATTCTTCAGTGTAGTTTTTTAGTTATCGACACTTTTACGTGAAAGAACCGGAAATTGCTCTTTATGCATATATAATTCTATTATGACTATTAGATTCAGCCTAGTTTGATGATGATTCTCTTTAGTTTTAAAATTTCTGCCTCCAGATTTTGGATATGTTTGAGAAAATATGAAAGTCTACAACATATTGGAATTTAAAAAAATTCTTACTTGTAGTTTTTAGTTATAATCGTTTTAGTTGAATGTGGTGCCAACTTCACAGTTTGTAATCACTCTACTTTAATGATGATTTCTGATACTTTTGAAATTTTTGCCACCTCCAGATTTTGGATATATTATAGACAATAAAAATATCTATAACATATCAAAGTTTAAAAAAATTCTTCTATGTAGTTTTTTAGTAATAGAGCTTTATATGTGAAAGGCCGGAAATCGTTCTTTATGCATAATTAATTTTATTATGACTATTAGAGTCTTACTATTTCAAAGATGATTTTCAATAGTTTTAAAATTTATGCCATCTACATATTTCGATTTATTTGAAAAAACATCAAACTCTATACAAAAGTTTAAAAAATTTCCACCTTGTAGTTTTTAAATTATAGGCCAAATAAAGGGCATTAAGGCAAGGTGATACATTAAAGCTTACTTTATTTATCAATTTCGTGGCTTCCATTCTTTATATGTGATGTTTAAGGACAAAAATATTGTTGTACACAGTTACGAAATGTTTTTGTTGTTTTTTGTTTCGTAGAAAAGGTGAATTAAAAACAACTTTTAGAGTTGTCAAGTGTGGTGTTAAATGTTGTGCTGAAAATTGTTTTGAATGTTGTTTCCCAATGTGGCGCCAATTTCACCGTAGTTACTATAAACAGAGGATCTGGCATGATACATTTCGAAAATTTCTAAAGAATTCACTAGGGTGGTATATATCAAACTATAAGGATTGCTTCTGACTTCTCAATCTTACAATCTTAAAACGTAAATTATTTTTTGGGGATTTATTTAATTCACTTATTTCCATGTTTAATAACATTAATGGAAAGTGGCATTTAATCTATTCATGGATTTAGAATAATGATTTATAAAAATCATTATGGACTTTTAAAAACCCATTGCGGATATTATATAACACATTAATGTATTATAGGAAAATATGCTTGTGTTAGTTTGCATATTGAATTTTATTATTTATTTTTCTTATTTATCTATCTATTCCAAGTCTCCAGATTATATTGTGAAAGTGAAAGTTTCAAAATGGATCTCATTCTTGATGTCAACATTCAAATATATCCTGTTGATCTTGGGGATAAGTTTCGCTTACTTCTTGCATCAACACTACAAGAAGATGGTGCACCAGATGATGGAGAATATCAACCTATGGAAAACATGCCTTCAAGAGCTGATCAGTTTGAATATGTGATGTATGGAAAGACATATCGTATCGATGAGGAAGGCAGTTCTTCTGAAGCTCCAACTAGATTGTAAGTGTGTCTTTACAGCATTTAGTCATGTATAAGAATGTTTTGTTTTTAAATTTTGTTTCATCATTGCTGCAGACAAATTAGATTGTCTTTTCTATTGGTCACAGTTTCTAGTTTTTCAGGAAATGTAGTCTCTGCACTTGCAGCAAAATTAAATGTGATGTTTCAGATTTATTTGTACCCATAATTTTAAGATAAACTCAGTACAGTTGCACATCATGAAACTTAAGGAAAACAATTAACCTTTTTGTTCTTTATCAAGACTTTGTTGATTCCTTATCTTATTTTTTATCTATTCAAAGATAGGCTTCACAAATTTGATAACTGGTGTTGTATACTTACCTTGGTAAAAATCATGTGTAGAATCCTACCTTAGTTGCTCACACAACCTAAGTTAGGATACTATAAAATCTTGTAGTTGTACAATCTTGCAAGATCCTTGACAGAAATCCTACTCTTGTCCTACACATAACTTGTTGAACGTTGCACAGGATCCTACTGATATCTTTTAATTATGCTGCAAAGAATTCCCAGTTGTGTTCAAATTTTGCCCAAAATCCTGTCCAGATTTTGTGCAGGATCCTATCGGAGTATCAGGGCCTTGCCTAAGATCATATATACATTAGTTGTATATTCTGTACTAAGGGTCATTACAACGTAGTGCCTATGATTGTATATGCATATTGACGTTCTGTTGGCTAAATTCATTTCGACTCATCAATTTTTTGGCAAAATGCCAACTCTAACCTTTCAATTTCAAAACTACTAGCTTAATCATTTATTTGAAATCAACGGAAAGAGAATGGGTCTCAATTCAACAGGTCGTCTCGCTCTATTTTAGGCCCCGTCCACACGTATGCGGATATATTTGAATCCGAAAATTTTTCTTTTCGGATACAGCTATCGTCCACACGCACACGTCGAATTCGCATGCAAATCCGGATATTTTTGAATCCGCTCTCCAGAGTGGAAATTTTTGAATCCGATAACATTTCAGATACGTGTGGACGGTCGAATCCGGATATTTTCTAATACGATGACGTCAAAAATTGGCGTCAGTGTTCACCGCAAAATTTAAACATGACGGACGATCGAAGGCAAATAACTTCTGTGATCATTTGGCTTATTTCCTCTATTTTAGCATATATGGAGCTGAATGTCGCTTTACTAAACGCTAAAATAAGTTATTCCAGAAGGCGGCTTGATATTTTCAAGCTATTTTGTTCGTTATCTACTGGGCAAAACGTCCGGCAGAAACAACTTAAACGAGCAGGAAAACAACACCGTCCTCGACGATTTTGGGTTAGACCTGGACGAACCAGTGCCTGGTGGGATAATTTTGTCAATCAGATCGTGATTGCAGAGGAATGGCGAGAAAATTTCCGTATGAGCAGAGGCTCCCTATATGAATTAGCTAATGAGCTACGACCTTATATCGAAGGCAAGACAACAGTCATGCGTGCTCCAGTAGATGTAGTAAAACAAGTAGCAGTGACACTTTACTACTTGAGCGACGAAGGTCGAATTCGAAAAACGGCAAATGCTTTTGGGTTGTCACGTCAAGTTGTGTCTAACATCATCCGTAAAGTATGCAAAGCCATTACTTTTCACCTTGGTCCTCGGTATATCAAGCTTCCTTTTACAGAATCCGAAGTAAAATGTCTCGTGAAAAACTTTAACCGAGCACATGGTTTCCCTCAATGCATTGGAGCTATTGATGGAACTCATATCGAAATCAAACAGCCAAATGTCAATTCCACTGATTATGTCAATAGGAAAGGGCGACATACCTTGAATGTGCAAGCAGTTTGTGACTATAAATACACTGTGACTACAAATGTTTTTTGGATGTAGTTGTAAAATGGCCAGGGAGTATACACGATGCAAGAGTATTTTCCAACTCAAAGTTAAATGATTTCTTAAAGAGTGGGAAAATACCATATTGCAAGGCTCATATAATGCCAGATACCATTGATGCTGTTGGAGTGTTCTTATCGAATCATTTTAAGTTTTGAAGTGAGAATTCCCTGAAAATCTATTCCTCAGTATGCGGGAAATCTTTCTGGATTGCGGCAGCATTTTCTGGGGTTGGATATTGTTTTACAAAGCGATCTAGAATATCGCCATATTTACTCTGGCAAGACTCCCAGTCAGTGTTCTCCATGGATTTTGCGGCTTTGTATTCAATTGTCACCTTCAATAACAACTCGACTTCATCGTCGCTCCATATAAATGATTCAGATTTGCTGCCCTTGTTTTTTATGGCTTTTCTACCCGAATATGACATGTTTCAACAGTTTCAAATCGAGAATAATAAGAGAAAGCTGGAATTCCCGCGAGCGCAAACAGGCGTAGCGCATGCTCAGTAACAAATATTGCAAGATTTCCGGAATGAATCCGAATACGTGTGGACGGGCGAAATCAATACGAATACTATGTAGTCTCAACGTGTGGACGGAGATATTTTTGTATCCGGAAAAAAATTTTTACGGATTCAAAGGAATCCGCATACGTGTGGACGGGGTCTTAGACAAATTGCGCAAAATTTGAAAAATTAGTGTTCAGTATTTGATTTTTGTTCTGTGAAGAGTATAATTATCTCGACAAGGTTACATAGAAGGTTACATATATGTAGCCATACTTCTAAAGTTCTTTTAACATTTATAAAATGCAAAGCATCCTCTTGCTCGATTTGAGAACAGCGAGTTTCTGTTTTAGTTAGAGTTTTGCTGAAAAGTAATATTATGTCTTCTTAATCTACCCAAAAGATTTTCTAAATTCTTACTGTGGTCTTTCCCATCCCTTCCTCCTACCCTGATATTATACCGATTATTAAGGACATGCGGATTCCCGTTATAATCGTAGATATTTCTTCGTTAAGAAGATCTTTGCTCTTTACTCCACCAAAACCAGGCGTTTGTAACGATAGTTCCCCCCATGGCGTTGAAAATGGCATAACCCTTCTTGATTCTTTGTCCAGAGCAAACAAGTGGTATCCATAATTAAGATCGACTTTGCTAAGTACTGTGCATTCTTTAAATGCAAAAAGTCTTCGGTTATCGTTTCCTGGATCTGCTTTGTTCTCCACATTAATTGGTTCAAGATGCGTAAGTCAAGGCTAACTCTAATATCTTTGGGATTCTTTGCCTTTGGCTGCACTACGAGTGGGGAGCACCATTTAATTGTTTTGTGTGTTTGAACTTACTCGATTATGTTGTTTTAGCAAATTCAGCAATTCTTTTAATGGTCCTACTAAATGGTAGGGTACTTGTTTTTGGGCAATCGATATTGTATTCTCTTTCGTTGGAAGATGTATCTCGATGTCTTTGCCGTCTCTTTGTGCTCGTCCAATTCCATGGAATCTATCATGGTATTTCTGAAGGGTTTCCTCCATGTGGTGATTAGTGATGCTGGTCCTGTTAATTTTTGTTTTAGTTTACCGATCTGTTTTGATAATCGTCTGGTTTCATCAATGATCACCATGTGCAGATTGGATAATGTACGTCTGCCTTTAAACAGTAGCGAGTCTATCTTTCCTTTGATTACAATGATTTGTGTGCGAGTTTGTTGTTTCTGATTTTCTATCGTTACTGTGCATTGTCTGATTACTGGAATTACCTCAAAAAGCGATTTCAATTTAGTTTTCGATTTCTGTAATTGAATTTCGGGTTTCTGCAATTTAAAATGTCTGAACTGTTGTTCGTCCGTTATATTAGCTTCCGATCCATTATCTGGTTCGATGTTCATTAGAATTCTATTGATTTTCACCATGCATGATTTGGCGATTTCCTGTGATTTTGATCGAGTTGTGTGTCGGATACGAAGGTGCTGGATGAAGTCTTTATCGCTTGAATTGCTGCTTGTGCTAGTATTGTTTCAATGTGTTGAATACTAGGTTTCCCTGCTTTAATTTTTCTTTTTTTGATACTGTCCTTGTATTCATCGATCTGCCTTTTTGGCGTGATTTCTGTTGTTCGTGTTGTGAAACCACGATGGATTTCTTCTTTTATTTCTGTCTGAGAATCCGGCAACCGTTGATTTGCAAACGACTGCGAAATGATTTTGTTTTCCACATTTTTGACATCTCATACCATATGCGGGAAGTTCTCCTTTATTATGTTTTCGACCACACCATCCATACCCTTTGTGCTTCGTAAATTTTACTCCTGTGTTTTCTCCAGCTGTCGCTTTATCCTTCCTGCTTGTCTCTGAGCTTGTTCAGCTACAGCTCTTTCATTAAGTATTTCTTGTAGTGTCCAGTTGTCTTGTATCGCTTTAACTAGAATCGTATTGTTCTTCATTGTCTTGAATCTGGCGTAGTCTCTATTCTTTTTCGGCAGAAAGTGCTAATCGATCTTACAAATGAGTCGGGTGTAAACGTTTTGCTCGCCCTCGACTATCGGATCAGGTATAGAATCATATAAGTCAGCAAGTTTTTATCCTCCATAGTTCATGAGACTATTTTTCTTTGATTGAGGGTTTTCTATACCAAAGAATCCGAATTGTCGTACGATATTTCGTTTCCATTTATCCCAACGTTGCTGTCATTTGATAGCTTAAAAGTCAGGATGTTAAAGTGCATTTAAACCTTACGGGGATTTTAGTATTGTTTGAAAGAACAACTCTTGAAATTAACAAATTTAAAAAAATAAATTGATTTGCATTAAATCTATCTTGGCAAATTGCTGTTAAAAATCCAAATTTACCGTATATAATTTTCACTAAGGGGTCTGGTATCAAGCTCATGTCGTGACGTCATGTAAAGAACACAGTTAGCACGGTTCTATTAAATTCAAAACAAACTGTCTGCTGTAATTTATCCATAGCGTTATGCGTTATGCGCGGCTAACCACTATGCTACACTGAAAAAGTGTCCGTCCTTCGGTCTGTCTGTCTGTCTGTCTGTCTGTCTGTCTGTCCGTCGGAATCCTCGGAGATAGTCGTATATGCGAACGATGGCGAACAATACCGTTTTGTGTATTCGTCGCTACCCCCGGAAA